CCCTGCGTATTGCATATTGACTATCAAAATGATGCAAATAGCTGGCACAGGGTTTGGCCACATCGGAATGTCTTCTAAGGACAGTGACGAAGCCATTCTGCTTCTGTCTCTCTGCTTTGCTAAAGCAATGAACATCGGATTCCATTGTGATCGTGCGATCATGTTTTGTTCGTGGATTTCAGAACAGCAGCGTCCTCCCAGAGTAAAGACATTATTCACTTGTGGATTTGAATCTTAGTATCCAATATCCAATTTGCATCACAATTAACCTTCTAGTACTTGCTGGATATCGAGTAAAGTTCAAACCCATCGATCACGCGGTGGATCGCTTGTCTCAATTGGTACTTCTCCGGGTTAACAGTTGTACCTACTCAATTTACTGATAGCTATAAGCTATATCACGTCGACGAGTACAATTTCATTAGGTACATTAGGCTTCTATGATTTGCGGAGTATTTTAACTGAGACATTGCATACCTTTATTTTGATAAATAAGACTCGATGTCTACAGGTGTTCTAGCTAAATTCAAATATCTGATAAATTTAATCAAGGAATTTTCTCATAATATAGATGAGCATTGAGAATAATGCAATCCGTCAAATTTTATAATTTATTCCCTAAATAACAACTGCGCCCCAATCTTTCATAATCAAATTCTTTGTAAGCATTTGCTTAGTTGATTTGATTCATTTTTGGATTGCTTCCAGATGATAAGCATGTCATCCACCATAAAGACAACTATGACATATCATTGTCAAGTGTTTTTAATATAGACGCAATTTGTCACATTCGTTTATCTTAAACCCATTAAGTTAAAGCACTTGCATGATCAAATTTCATGCCATTATTAGGTGCCTGTTTAATCCATAAAGGCATTTTACAAGTCGACAAGACTTTCTTTGTCTGCCCTGATACTACAAACCCTCGGGTTGCTCATATAGATCTTCATTTTAGATACCGTGTAAGAAGCGTGTCTTAACATCCATTGATGTATTTTAAATTAAACAACGCTGCTATAGCAATAAGCATGCGAATGGATGTTATTTTTGTGTCAACAGGGGATATGTGTCAAAATAGTCCAGACCCTTCTTGTCTGTACCTTTAACTACAAGTCATTGCTTTATAACTTGTCAATTGAACCATCTGACTTTCATTTTTCTCTGAATATCCATTTATCATCCAAGAGGTTTAGACCTGGTGATGATCCACCATTCCAAAGTATGATTTTGCATTATGGATTCAATTCATTATTAACAGTCTCTTCACAAAGGAGCTTCACGACCTTCTTGCTTTGCCTAAAGCTTTGAGGTTCATTTTCTAAACAGCATGTCAGAAAATCTGGACCAAAGATTTGATGTCTCTTTGCTCTCTTATTCGGTCTTGGTTCATCAGTTAGTTAAAATCCTTGTTGTCGAGACATTTACTAGTTGTCCTTGTGTTTGATTGTTCAGTAGTTTCTTGCTTTGCTGTACAATCATAATTCTTTTCTGTGAACTTAATTCCCGTCCTTTCTTGTGAAGGAAGACTTTTCAAAAAATTACAGCATTCCTTGACTCTACAATAAGTGTTCATATTTACTACAGGTATTTTTGACTTTAATAAGTCAGAAAACCGAATGCACTACTTTTTGAGCATAACAATAAAACAACACAATTCTAACTATTTTTGGTCCAATCTTTATGGTCTATTTTTTAGGTGGGCCCCGTGCGTCGATTTTCACGGGTCTAAGTGGTAACGCGTTCTATGCCGCGTTATGATTCACGTGGTATATTTGGTTGCTCAAAACCATTATTGAGTGAATGGGAAATTGAAGCCAAAGTGTGCTCCATGGAAATGGAGTTTTGGTGGAAAATCCTTAAAGGTATTGAATAAGGCTTGCCCCACATTAATTTGGTGAGAAGTTTTGAATGGGTTTATAAGGCATGGGTTTGGTACTTGGGGTACCCAAGTGTTTTAGAGGGAGAGGTTATGGGCAAAATGGGCTAGACCCATTGGACCCAAAAATCACCACACACGCGCGCGCGCTCCGCCGCCGCTATTCGTCCGGTCGGTCAAGCGGGCTGGGCTGGGCTGGGCCTGGGCGGGTGCGTGGTGTGAGGTTGGGCTTGTTCAGCCCAATACTAATCTTTTTCGGCCAAAAACATTTGAATTTAATTTTATTTTTTGGTAAAATAAAATCCAGAATTCAAATTAAACCGGAAATAAACTGGTTTGGTTTTACTGTACATCCAAACAGGGCCTTTCCTGAAATAAACTAATCTGGTTTTTACTGTACATTACTGTACATCCAAACAGGGCCCTTCCCGTTTTTGTATCTATTTAAATTATGAACCCAACAGATTCAAATCTGTTTGAATTCAAAACCAACAGGTTTCATACCTGTTCAATTCAAAACCAGCAGTCACCTTTACATCTATAAATAGACTAGCCTTCCATTTGGATTTTACTCTAATTTTCGTACTCCATCCTCTGCTATAAATCTCTGCATTTTGCTGCATTTATTTTCTGAAAGAAAGAGTATAACACTTAGTGTGTTCGTAAGGCAAACAATTTGCAGTGCTGCTATTGTTTGTAGTAGATCATTTCATCCTGGGAGATAGACATCCAATTTCTGAAAGCACCGTGGAGAGGACGAATCTGTCTTAAGGACACAGTGTCAAACACTGGACTTGATCAGATTATAATTCGAAGAAATTAAATCAAGTAAGTTATTTAATTTGTTTTCAGTGTTATTATTATTTATTTAAATCAGATTTTAATTTTGTTTTTGTAACAAAATAAAATCTATTTTTATTTATTTATTTTTATTTCGAATTTGATTTTTGTAATCAAACAAATTCTCTCATTTCCTTTATTTCTTTATATTCTGGTTGTTGTTTAGTACACAACAGAATTTAATTTATTTAAATACAGTAAAAATTGTCCAACAGTGAGATGTAGAAGCGTTTTTAAATTTATTTTTTTTTAAATTGGATTTTTGTTAATAATTAAAAACATATAAGACTAATTAGTGTAAATATTTTGTTTTCAGATTAAATAAATTTTGAATTTTTTGTATGAGACCTGTCATTAAGTTCCCCTTCTAAAAATATGTACTACGGGCTTTCTCAAATAAGTTTTTTTTGACACTTTTACAAACCTAATAAGTTATGTCTATGATGGGGAAGATGGTTTACACACGCAAGAAACATGATAAGAATTAGATATACCTTTAAAAACTATTGCTTAACTTGAACAATATTATTTGCAATTTTAATTATTTTTGCTTAAATCGGATATCCCTCCCAAAGGAACAATTTTTCTCAGTAAGGACGGACACATAAAAATTCTTATATACAAATACAAATTGATACATTAAAATGTACAATATTATTAATATTTTTTTCTTAAACAAAAAATAAGGAATGAGGGTTAAGTTTTTTATATATAAATTAAAAATATTTTAAATTAATATTTTTAGGATAAGGAGGTTTTGTCAAAACTTTATGCATCGTCATCTAAAGTTTCAACTTTTTTTCACATGGTGTGTTGTGCTACTTTCGGCCAATTGAGGCCCAATGTGAGACATAGCATATGAAAAATTGCATTCTTGGCAGGACAATATTGTTTGATTGGAAATGACCTGTCATGAACCTTTTACTTTCCTTTTTAATAATTCTAATGAAAACTTTTAACAGGCTCACTTGATTTTGTCACCATATAAATTTTGTGGATTGAAAAATCATCACATAGATTAGGGATTTAAAATATAATTTTTTTTTTAAAAATAAATTTGAAGTGCATGACCTTTTGATTGTTGCATCCATCAATGATGATCATAGAAGGTGATAAGATATTATGATAAAAATTGAAAAAAAAAATGATAATTGTTGATGTTACTTTTGGAATAAGTAGACACATCGAATGAGAATCCGCACACATGACTAATTCTACGGTTATGTTTGGTTCACAACACTAATAGTGAGGTATTAATAATCCTATCAAATTAGTGTGATATTATCTATCCCACCCCTACCCCATTACTAATAATCCTACAAATTTGTTGGATTAATTATCCATTAGATTAATAATCCTAAACAAAAATGTCAAAACAAACATAGGATGATTGGGCCCACGAATTAATAATCTCAATCACATACTTTAATCCTTCTAATCAAACATGTCCATAAGGTCATGTGACATTCCAAAATAATTCGATATTCGACAAAATAATTACATACGTAATAATCGAATCTTGTGGTGGTGGGCTATTAAAGAGTGCACGGACTAAAAGAAATATTGGACCACGAGATGAGCCAAGTAGATAGTCAACATTTGACATTGTTTATAAGTTAAGTACTTGGCCCGGCAATCATCATTTGGTACATATTTTCAGCATTAAATTCCGAGATACCTAACCCAATAACAGGCTAATGACCCATATTTTCCTTACAGACAAAGCCTAGTATGCTTTATAATTTGGCACTTGAGCCCAAGATCACAAGCGACTTGGCACTTATGCCTAAAGATCCCATGTGTAACGGTCTGGGTCTAAGCTCGAACCAATTGGCCTTTTCGACACGTGTGCATACGAACCATATTGTGATAACTTCGTCTTATCTTCATTGTCCCTTGCATTCTTTTTCTAGTGTAATAATCCGACATTTTCATATTTTTAAATTTTCTCATTATATGTGTGTTTATGTGTTTGATGTAAAATTTCATGTTTGAATATGTGAATTCCATGTTTATAAATTTGTATCTGTCGGTTATGAGAAAAATCCATTGATATTGTGACTTTCGGGCTAGAAATTGAAGGCCTTAGAGGCGTGATAAATCGAAATTGACTTTACAGTTATGATTAGCATGATTTTTAGGACATAATATAAAGTTTTATAAAAATTTGATTCGTAACGAATTAATTTGATTTATTTAAGCTAAACTTGTAATTACCCTTATTTTGACTCAACAAGCTAAGTGATATAGGATATGTGCTTGAGCCTTGTGAAAAGAACTAAAACTTAGGCTTAGGATATTTTGTCGAAGAGCTTCTAGAGAGGAAAGAAGAGGAAAAGGGAGGAAGATGAGAGAATTCAATCTAGGAGATTAGAGCTTGGGAATTGAAGGGGGAAACCAAGGATCTAGCTCAAGGTAATTGACAATTAACTCAACTACATAGAATGTCTCTTCAATTGATGAGAATCAAGACCTAAGATGAAATTAGGGTTTATGACATATGGCTTGTTTGAATGTATTCCATGAAATTGAGCATGTACTCTTTGGAGTTGGTTAGATTCTTGTGTTTTGGGTTGTCTTGAGTTAGATTGTGAGCTATTTCCTTGTTATCTTTAGTTTTTGGCATGCTTTGGACTCATGTATATAAGTTTGTATATGTATATATATCTATATCATGAAAATTTGAAGAGCATGAAAGCAATGTGGAAAGTAGAGTTGTATATGCCAAATTAAAATAAGTTGTGTTTTACTTGCTTGGATTGAGCCTTGGATGTGCATACGGAAAGCTTGAGAAATTGATAGATTTTTGGACTGAAATTTTCAGCCCAGACCGCTCATGTGGCTGGGTCCACCGCACGAGTGGCCAACCCCGTTTTGGACAATTTTGATTTTGAAATTTGCTCGCTTATCCAGCCAAGACCACCATACGAGCGACCAAGCCACTGCACGTGCAGCCAGGACCACCGCACGTGCAGCCAACAGGGCTGATTTTTCTAGTTTTGTTTTCTTTCCTTTTTGATTTCCGGGCCTCCAATTACATGGTTTCCAACTATTCTCACGTGCATATGTATTGTACAAACACAAGAGAAAATTAAAGAATGAATGGAACAGATTAAAATTCATTAAAGAAGCTTAGAAAGGAACTAAGTGTTTATTAAGTTGCGTGTGTGCCATGTGTAGGTCACTTGCCGGAAGGGACCATTACGCGACCGAATCACTGTGAGTAATAGTAATGTAACACTATGTTGAAAGTTACGAATTTTATATTTTTGTCCATGAATGATATGAGTTATACAACTTGTGCTTTGGTTAAACTGGTTGAACACTTGACCGCAATGACATATGAAATGGGCCCGAGGCCGTTATGTTATTATTGGGCCCGAGACCGTTATGTTATTATTGGGCCCGAGGTCGATATGTTATTATTGGGCTTGAAACCGTTCCGAAATGTGCTGATGAAAAGGACATACATGCAATACATACATATTCTTCAAGACATATGCGTATTAACATGCCTTCATACGTTATTATTATTCACTGAGCCTGGCTCATTCCGTATTCATGTATGTTTTGTAGGTGGTCAGCTTGGAGGCCAGCCCTAGGTCAGCTTCAAGCGCCTTTTGTGGACATTTTTGTTAAGTCCTACATTGGAGTCTTTTGTCTCTTAAGGAGTTCAATGCCACATTTTTGTTAAATTCTTGGTGGCTTTTGTTACAAATTTTGTGATTATGTAACTTTTGAGGTTCTTAACTCCTTGTACGTACACATGCTTGGATTCTATTTTTATTTGAATGGTGCATGTAAACTTCTCCGTTTATGAGATATGTAATAATCTTGCCATATAGACACTGCTCAAGGGACGTTCTATTATTTAATTGGTTCCGATTTAGGCCCTATTGTTCAATAAATTATATTATTTGATGTTGTTTTGAGGCCTTTGTACGGGCCGGTCATGACCTATGCTTTTGGGAGTAGGTCTGGGTAATGACAACTACAATTCTTTACCTTGGTATTGTATGAGAGTAACTGGGAACATTTGGGGAATTAGTTGGACTGGTGATCGATCATAGCTTGAGGCGAACGATCGCTTCATTTGAGTTTTTGTTGAGTTTTCAACAAAACATAGTGGGTGTTTGGGAAGTGGGTTTTTTTGTAGGTTTTTTTAGTTGTAGGATATTAATGGAGAATTTTTTTTTTTTTGTGTTTGGGAAGATAGTTGGGTTAGTTGGGTTTTTTTGTGTCTGGATGTGATGTTTGTGAGAGAAAAAGTGAAATGATTATGAGATTTGATGTGATATTTTGTTTGTATTTGTTTTTTTTTTTGGTTTTGTAAAACATTTGTCTTGTAGTGAAAAAAAAAATCCCAAAACCAAGTTCCTAAACACCGCCTAGTAATCATTGAAGCGATCACTGCATTTGGAAATTTTGTAAGGCATTCGAATAGTGAGTGGCAATCAATGGGTGATCTATTGCTTCGTTTGAGACTTTTGAGCAGAACATAGCAATCATTGTGCGATCAATTCCTTTGTGTTGCAATCCATCACTCTTGAAGTGCGATCGATCGCTTGGTTAAAAGTCACTTAATTTACACTTTTGGCAACTAAATTTTTTAGTCGCCAAAAGTTATCTGTTTGTCGCCGAAACTTGTTAGTGACTAATATTTTTGGTCGCAAGAGTAGTCGTTGAAGGATTGTCGGGAAAGGTAATTGGTGATGCCAAATGTACTGAAATGCCGACTAATTTTTTAGTCGCCAAAAGTATTGAAAAAAAAATTAAATATCACCTTTTGAGCGACTAAAAATAATTTGTCGCGAAAAACCTTATTTATATCTAGCTACTAAAGATTTAGTTGCCAAAATTATTTTTTGTTTCTCCTATTATTTTTTTAGCTACTAAATATGTTAGTCGCCTAACGTGTGATTGTGTTTTAGCTACTAAAAGTTTAGTCGCCTAAAGTCTCACATTTTTCGCTACTAAACTTGTAGTCAGCAAAGGTCCTATTTATCACAGGGAAGCTGGCCGTGACATTTGTACGGTGGTTTGAGGGTTGTTTCCCAGTTTTGCCTCCTTCACACCTTTTTTCGGTTACGTTTATGGCGTTTTCGGGTCTAACTCCCAACCTACACGTGCTAATTACATTCCGTCTATTGTCACAGGTCCTATTTTTCATGGGGAAGGTGGCCTTAACATCCGTATGTTGGTTCATAGGCTATTTTGCTTTTTCACCTCCCTTAACACCCTTTTTTTTGTTAAGTTTAAGGCAATTTCGACTCTAACTCTTAACCTACGCGTGCTAATTACATTCCATCTTGCGTCACAAGTCCTATTTGCCATGGAAAAGCTGGCCATGACATCCGTACGATGGTTTGGGGGCTGTTTCGCATTTTCGCCCCCTTAACGCCCTTTTCTTGATTAAGTTTAAAGCATTTTCGGCTCTAACTCCTAACCTATATGTGCTAATTACATTCTGTCTATTGTCATAGGTCCTATTCATCATCAGGGAAAGTGGCCGTGACATCCGTACGGTGGTTCGGGGACTGATTCGTATTTTCGCCCTCTTAACGTCCTTTTTCGGTTAAGTTTAATGCATTTTCAGCTCTAACTCCCAAGCTACATGTGCTAATTACATTCCATCTATTGTCACAGGTCCTATTTGTGATAGAGAAGGTGGCTGTGACATCCGTACGATGGTTCGGGGGTTGTTTCGCATTTTCGCCCTCTTAACGCCCTTTTCGGTTAAGTTTAAGGCATTTTCGGCTCTAACGCCCACCCAACAAATGCTAATTACATTCCATCTGTTAGGTTTTTATTCTTGGCAATCCCGTTTGACAAAACTCCTTTCAGTTGTACTTGTTTCGCACTTTTATTTTAGTGAGGCTATGAGTTTATTAGACGCGAATCCAATCTGAATCGTGCTTTGCAGAGAAGTTTGTGGTGTTTAATTCTTTCAAGATTGCCACTTCACTGATTATGACGGGGATCGAGCTGTCCGCTCGAGTGGACATTCTCCCGCTCGAGCAGAGAATGCTGAGTTCCAGAAGTTTATTCGCCTGCAAAAATACTGGATGTTGTTTTTTCCCGCTCGACCGGAACTTTCCGCGCTCGAGCATAGGTCCGCTCGAGCGGCCAATCTGACGCTCAAGCGAAGATCGCGGGACAGTTTTCTATAAATACGTGATTCAGTCATATTTTAGGATTACTCCTCCAGATCTTCTGTTTGGATCTTATGGTTTATATCTGGGGATATTTTGCTAGTTTTCTTTGATGTTTTGATTGAGTATTCAACTCATGGTTTAAAGAGTATACATCAAAGGATTGTTCGTTTGTTCTACACAAAAAAGAGAGTTATTCTTCGGTTGATTTTGAAGAATTCGAGCCTAAAGCTTTGGTGGATTCTGGAGTGGCTCATCGTAAAGACAATTTCGAGATGAAGATGGGGTTGGAAGAGACACATAGGGGTTGGTTCAATTCGGGCGTGGATTCGCTAGGTAATTGAGAGTATACCTGTGTAATTCCTTTAAATCCTCTTAGTGAATTATTTTGTGACTGTTGCCCGTGATTTTTTGATCACAATTGGAGGTGCTCCAATTGTGGTTTTTCCACGTTAAAATCGTTGTGTCGATTTGTCTTGATTGTTTGATTGGGATTGTTTTATTGCTTTAAAATTGATACATAATCACAAATCAATATCTAGGGAATTTCTAGATTTTTCATAATCTACAATAAACATAGTAATTTTCCACTCTTATACAAAAATATTAGAAGACCATTTTATTCTGATTTTTAGATGAGCTTGTCATCCACATTTTGAAGACTCACTATTCTATTGCTTCTGAGATGGTGTAACATTTTTTTAATGATTGTTTACCTTTTTTGTTTTTGTTTTTGTTTTTTTTAATCGGGCGCCCAGACTAATTTACGTACACCTTAACTAATCCCGAGACTCACGTAAAGTACCCTCTCTAAGTGGATTACACAAATCTCAAACAAAACTTACGATCGGGACTCCAAAGAGTTGATAGCATCTAATGAGGGTTGAACTTAAGATCTAGAGGGGGCACACCTCCAGGTCCCAAGCTGCATCTATTAGGCCAACTCCTTGGGTTAGACTGTCTACCTTCTCAATGACAAAAGAATTCACGCTTCAGTATTTCCTTATTTTTATTTTTTTGACAAAACAACCTTGCCGAATTGGAAAACCATGTTGATTCACATAATTTTTATAGAAAATGAAAGTGTCTTATTCACTAAGGAAATGTTGACCAATAAAACACTCTAATCCATTTTTCTGTTGAATTTTCATTTTCATATTCTTCAATATATAACTCCCATGTCATTATTTCATTTGAACTAATTGTTTTATCTTCATTTGCAATTAAATCTTCATCCACTTGTGCTATATTGCAACAAGAATTGCAAAAAAATAAAAATAAAAATCAACAGTCATGTTTTATAGAAAATGAAAGTCTCTTGACTGCTTTTTTGCTTTCTAACAATCTATTTCAGTGACATGTTTTAAAAAGTCACTATAAAAAGTCAATTTTTCTCTCTATTATTTGGCACGTTTATTTATTTATATATAAAAAGTAAAAAAAATTACCAAAAAAATAATACTCAAAACTACCCGACCACCATATATTTGTAGAAAATGATCAGAGTTTCTTCAACCACGCCCACCATATTGCAAATTTATGAAAGACTTCCTAGAAAGTCTTATTTATTTATTTATTTATTAAATATTTTGAAATCCAATGTGTAATGCACAACTTGAAAACATCAAAGACACCCCCACTTTGGAGAAATTTTTGTATTATTGCGTGGGTGGCTAAGCAACTTGCACGTTCTACTAGATTATTAGCATTTTACATATTTTTTTTAAAAAATTTTCGGTTCAAAATTTTCCCAGCCTAGATGTGGTGATAGTTAATACAATTCTTTTCAAATGGCTAGATGATTTCTTTGTGTTGGTTGGTTAGATTTGTAGATACACAACTGTCTAATTTGATGTAATCGTTCCTAAATTTATAATTAATTTCTTATATATTGGTAAAAAAAAAAAAATACTATGTTGCAAGAAACATCCTTCTTCAATTCTCTCATCACTCATCTATCTTCTCTGGTATTACCAGTGTACCCTTTGGTAGTGTGTGGACCACCCCATCGTTGGAGCTAGGGGTGTTTGTGGATTGATTTTTGACTATTCGGTTTGCTGTTTGAACCTACCCGATTGTCTTCGGTTTGAAAAAAATTGAACCCACAACCGCCCGTAGTGCCGATTGCGGTTTGTGCGGATAGGGTTCATGGATGTGCAGACAGTTTATGGATTGGGTTTTTCCTTTAAATTTTATTTTTTGGCTTTTTTTTTCTATTTTTTAAATATTCTTTTTGGGACTTTTCCCCCCATTTTGTAAATATTATTTTGGGCCATAAAATCACATATTTCTTATTATGAAATCATTATTTTCCAAATGATTTATTCCAAATAAATTACAACCTATCTATCCAATTTACTTCTAGAAAGAAGCAGACCATAAGCACAGGTTAGGATCAGTCAATTAACTCGCATTCA